TTCTTGAAATATTCCACTTTTTGCTCATCAAAAACAAATAAGCAAACTAGTTACTTCAGCCAACGCTCAAACCGCGTTGAGTGCACTCGTTCTCGTCCGCGCTGAGTGCACTCGTTCTCGTCCGATCACGAAAGTTAAGCAGCGCTGGGCACGGATAGTACTTGGATGGGTGACCGCCTGGGAACTCCGTGTGGTGTTGGCTTTTTTTTTATTTTTCCAATATTTTTTACTTTTCTTGACAATCTATTTTTAATAATCTATAACCTAAGCATCGAGAAAAAGAAATATTTTGATACTACACGACTATTACCTCACAATTATATATTATATCAAAAAATAATATTATACAGGGTGGTTGGTAACTGGTGGTACAAGCGGAAAGGGGGATTCTACGCGAAAAAAGAAATCGAAAATATAGAATAAAAATTCTTTTTTAATTTTTCTATCGAGACAACGATCTACAGTGAGATCCGTTATAACGAGATGTGATAAAGTGCACGCGTACCAAGCGAAAATTCAACTAAAATTTACAAAACGATAATAACACCAATTTGGAATATCACTATGGGACAAAAGCAATGAGTCATGTAAATAAACCAGAGTCGCTTCTAGAAGATTCAGAACAATAGCTAACGCCCCATGGTATGTCAGAAAGGAGGATATACACAAAGCTTAAAAATACCACAAGGTCGATGAAGAAATTAGCAGGTACGCAGAAAAATATAAGGAACGAACGGCAACACATCCAAACCAGCTAGCTACTGAAGCGAGCAAAACACTCATAGAAAGAAGACGAAAAGAACACCCCACTGACCTCGCTACAGAAATAAAATAAACAAACAGGAAGATGGTATCCCGCTAGGGATAGAAATCCACATATTACTTAGCAATTAAGTTAGCAATTAAGTTAGAAAAATGTACTAAATGCCCATCTGAACTAATTGTAAAGTACAAATTAAATAATAAAAAAAAAATTTGTCGCATACGGCGCTCAAACTTATTCCGAATACAGCCGAAGAATGACGATTGATCTGTTCGGTCATCTCTTACTGTCATGCCAACTTCATTGTTACCAGTGAAGGAGCATTTTATTCGTTCTGAATCTTTTGGTGTTCTCTTTCATTGCTCGACAACTTAACATAGTAAATAGGGGCTATTCTGACTAAACCATCTTTGGAATATTCTCTATCGACGGATTCGAGTCCAATTTAAATCGGTGCAGTAGTTTTTAAGTTATAACCGAACGAACATAAAAGTATTTTGCACTTTATACATGTATATATGTACATGTATATGTATACCAGACAGAGAGATGTTACAAAATTTGAAACCTATACTGGGCCCTTGACTGTTAGGCTCTGTTGGTTATAGACAACATAAGTTAGAAGATGTAACAATTCTGATTGTAATAATTGCGTAATGTAATTAATTTTTATCTGCGGAAGACACGTCTGTATTTCGGACTGAATTCTTAAGAACTGACAATTAACAATGATTAAACTGTTTAACAATTGAACTATTAAACAAAAGGAAATAATATCGGCATCTTTTATATATATTTGTCGGGTTTGCATTAGAATTAGGGTTAGGGGCGTGAAACGAATCTTCGTTTGGGTTACACGTTGTCGTTATGCAATAGAGAAGACATTGACTAGTGCAAATACGATTATTATAGAGCCGGACAAGTAACCGTGGTAGTTAGGTACTCGAGAAACTAATGACAATGATCCTAGGTTCAATAACGAATCCGCGGTCGACGGGATGATAGATGAACGTACTCACAAAATCTAAGTCGGATGCGTAATATTCACTGGTCGTAAAGGGTTACTTCTTTCATCAGTGAGACCGCGAACGAGAATGTCTTTCCCGTCCCGATGATGCCATAGAGGAAAACTATAGTGGGGTGTGTCTAAGGACACGAGATCATCGGATTCGTCGAGAAAAGCCTGCGTTCAGAAAGTAAGGGAAATTGACGTTGCTGCTAATTGGTCAATCTCCATATCGGTGGTTAGAAAAAGATGCTAGCCGCCCTCGAGGGAAAGTTGCTAGTGGGAGACGCCGCTCGTTGAAAAATAGGTCTCCCCTATCTTCCCGTAGTTGGGACAAAGACTGTATGTCTGTTTGAAGGACT